GGGCGTCGGGGTGGGACAGGTGAGCTCTGGGGGTGGTGCAGGCAAAGGCGGGGAAAGAGGCCTTGTGGGCCTTCCGGGAAAGCCTAGGGAGCTCCCCACCCGCACCTCCCCTGCTCCCCACCCACCCACTCCTCCCCTGCACGCAGATCTACAAGTCCACCAAGTGCAATGACATGCGCCAGACCGGCCGCCGCCCACGGGGCCCCTTCTGTGCCTTTGCGCACGTGGAAAGTGAGTGCCCTGGGCCCTCAGCCCTGTGGACGGGGCAGCGCCGGCCTGGAGGGCTCGGAGGGCCCCCAGGTGGGAGGGGTGGGTGACTCGGCACGCTTGCCTGTACCCCAGGGGTGCCAGGTGGGAGGAAGGTGCTGCTCCGGCCTGGAGGCTGGCGTCTGGCTCCCGGGTTTTGTGAGCCTGGCTGCACCCGGTTCCGCTCTGTCTTCCACCGAGGGGCAGCGCTGGCTGTGCCCTGGGTTCACGGCCCACCCGCCTCTGCAGGGAGTCCAGGAGCAGCCGGCGACCGGGGTTGCCGGGACCTCGCCTCAACCTGCAGCACCGTGGCCAGCGGGCAGCCTGGACGTGTAAGTAGGCGTTGAGCTGTGGGGCAGGCGGCCTCTGCGTGTTTGGTTGTCACAGGCAGGTGCGATGTGGGAGGTCCCCACCTGCGGGTCTCCAGGATTCTGTGGTCGGGCCGGGCCCTGGCCCTGGCCAGCTGACCGCAGCCTCTGCCAGGCCGGCCCCCAGCCTGGGCAGGAGTGGGGAGGCCGGGGCACCTGAGTGGTCGCTGCGAGGCTAGCACGTCTGCAGGCCTCAGTGCCTGGACCGGGAGCCACGCTCAGGTCCTTGGGTCTTGTTCCTGCCACACCCGCCAGGGCCCACCTGCCAGGCAGGCCACCAGCGGCGGTGCTGGGGCAAGCTGGGCACCCAGTGGGGCAGGAGGGTCCCCTCCTGGAGAGCTCCCTGTGGCCGGATGGAGGCACCTTGGGCTGGGCCAAGCCCATGACGGCGTCTGTCAGAAAGCTGACCCTGGACAGGCATGGGGCTGCTTGGATGGCCGAGAACAGGACCAGGCACAGTGCTCAGCAGGGGCTCTATCCAACGAGTTGGTGTCCACTGTGGCGACCACACTGACCAGCACTCTGTATGTCAGGCCAGACGGACGGCCAACGAATGGCTAGTCCGTGTCAGCCGCAGCACGGCAGCTAGGGTCCTGTCCCCGCCTTTCTGGCAGCGGGGGGTGGCCAGAGCTGGTGGGGACCTAGGGGTGGCCAGCCCAGGAGCCTGGGGAGGAAGAACCCCCAAATCTGTCTGAAGCCTGAGTGGTCCGCACGGCCCTCGCCCTGGGGCCTTTTAAGCATCTTCATCTGGGCAGCCCTGCCCTGGTCTCTCCAGAAGGTCCTTGCACACTGCCCCTTCCTGCCCCCAGTCTGGCCTGCTCTCCCCGTCACGCATGGGCATGGCAGGAGGTGCAGGCTGCCGCGGCACCCACTGGACCGCCCAGCGTCCTGCATGCTGGCAGGCGCCGGCCCAGGGTTGCTGCATCCGTGGCTTCTCCCAGGCGGCCGTCGGAAAGAGGGTGGGGTGCGTGCACTGCCTCTGAGGTGTGGGGGCCCCAGGGTGCGCCCTGCATGGTGCTGGCTGTGCCCAGGCGTCCTGCAGCGCTCGAGGTGGGGTTTGCTGGGACTACGCGCGCCAGGGCTGTGGGGGTCGACCCCGCTGTGACGCGAGGGGTGGCCGGCCCCAGCCCCAAGGGGCCTGGGGATGCCTGCGCCCGCCCCACCCTGCAGGGGAGTGTGGCCCAGGGCCTCGGGCTGCTCCTGCTCTCTGCTCAGGCACCCGAGGGCGCGGCTGGCCTGAGGTGTGGGTCGGGCTGCCAGTGTGCGGGGCTGGGGAGGCTCGGGGAATCCATGAAGCAGCCAGCGTGGGGCTCACCGGATGCCACGTTCCTGCCCCGCCCACTGACCTTCGCCCCCTGGAGGGCAGCCGGGACGCTCGCCCGCCCCACGCAGCCCGCGCCCTCACCGCCCGTCTGTCTCTGCACAGAGCCACCCGTTGGTGTTCGCCGCGGGCCACCCGCTCGCTCCCGGCGTGGGCTCCGGCCTGGTATCCAGCGCGGCCTCGCGCGGCTCCTCCCCCACCGCCCTGCCCCCGCGCCCAGCGCGCACCCACCCACTTGACCCTGCCAGAGGTGGGTCCAGGTGAGTCGCGGGTGCCACTCCCCCCCCCCTCCCGCGCTCAGCCATGCTGGCTGGGGCCTGTGGGCGCCGGGGCACGTGTCCGGTCAGCAGTCACTGGGCACCTTCTGTGGCTGTGAACACAGACTGCTGCCTGGCACGCGCACCCCAGGCGAGGCAGGGGGTGCAGCAAGAGCACCCGGGGTGGGGGTGACAGTGGAGCAGAGGTGGGTGGCTGCCGCCGTGCAGAGGCCGCAGCCACCAGGTGGTCACTGAGGTTCAGGGTGGCGGGGCCGGGGGCCCACTGGAGGATCAGCTGCGGCTTCTGGAGCCCTGACCTCCCCTCCCGTGTGTGTGCCGGCCTCAAGGAGCACCCCCAGGAGACTGGCCCTTGGGGGCCCACGCCCCTCCCAGATGGCGCCAGGGTGCGAGGACAGCTGCGTGCATGAGCCTGAACCCGCCACCAGCGTGTGGGCCAGAGGCTCCCAGCAGGAGTCCTGGCCAGTGGCCCCTCCACTCGCTCAGACTTTTGCCTTCTGGTCAGAAACGGGCGCGGGAAGTGGCGGGGTCACAGCCTCGCACTGTGGCCAGAGGGGCGCAGCAGGAGGTGAGGCCGTGGGCCCTGCCCCACCGGCCAGTGAGGGAGCTGGTCCTGCCTTGCTCGCCATGTGGAGGGCGGCCCCCTGCAGCAGTGGTGGGCGGCTGGGACAGGAATCAAATGGGGTGCGGCCCTGTGCTCCGCAGGCCCCGC